TCATTTTAAAGGTCCCATATTTTACACTTCTCCAGTGCTTTATTTGAAGCATTGGTATGTGAACCAAAAACCATTCAAATGTAGTTTTACATCTCCTCTCTCAAGGTTCTCTCTGGAGCTCTACTTTCACAGTATTAATACAGAACCTGCTTTATGATCAAAAAGACGTGGAAATCTCACTTTATACAGTGTTGTTTATATATCATTCAGGCTGAGAGTCACAGGCCAAATCATTAAAAGACATTTTTCTCATAATGTAGTCCTTGCTTTCACATCTACCCAAGATATAAGACATAATTTATCTCAGAGTCAACTAGCCAGTGAAGGTTCTGTGTCAGTCTGTCACTTTGGTTTGATTCAACTCAAGAAGTGATGGATTTTTCAATCACACTCGACATAAAGACGCTTACATGTCAATATGGCATTGATCTCGCTGACCCTCAGTCATGCCTCACAGCATGGACTGACTGTCCTTCATTAGATTCCCAGACTGGCAGCACGGTCAGGCAAAATAACTCATTATACACACCTAATTCAATCAGTGGCTTCCTCCTTTTCAAAGCATAGAATACAAATTCTAAATTCTACTATTTGACAGGCAAAATGGAGAAACATCAACACAGAAAACACACGCTTCCTCAGGACAAAATCAAACTCTGCAGCAGACCTTATGCAACTGTCACATTTTGCCAAACACTCGTAAAAAAAAAAAAAAAAGGGGAATAAAAATATTCCCTCAGCTGCCTTTGCAGAGCACAACCACCAGCTGTTGTCCTGTCCACTGTGTGGACATGGCTGGCTGTCAGCAGGCTTATCCAACACTGCGCCTTGCATATGAAACAGGACATGGGCCTATATCCCCTTGGGGAGTTTACTTCCTCTGAGCCCCCGCCACCACCACCACTGCCCCACCTCCCTCCTGAAACAAGCTGCCCCTTTTGCTGGAGGCCAGATATCCTGAGCAGCAGTGAGGGCATCTCAGGGGTGGGGGTGGCTGCAGTAAAAGGGGAAGTTTGAGCTCCTGCACATTAGAGAATGGCAGCCGAATATTAAAACACCACAAATGACAAATGTTTTGACTCCCTTTTTTCCATTTTCAAGGTTTAATAGTTGTGTTATAACACCGGTCAGCTCTTTGTACAGTGAGCCATAGGATAAAGCATGGAAACAGTGTGCAGGAATGTGCTGGGAGTCAGCAGCACACTAACATATGTGGTGCATAAATACAAAATGGCTTCTACTCTGCGTTATTGTTCTGACTTGATTATTTATACAGGTCTGTCTCTAAACAAATCACTTTCCAGCAAGTCAGAATGAAAATGAAACATTGGCAAAGAGCAAATCTGGATTTTCAACTGCAAGCAGCAGAGTCACTGTTGACTGTAGGGATATGCATGAAATGTTTCAGTGTTTTCACGCAACAGCTGTGGAAAGCATGTTCACCTCTCCACAGGCGTGTACTGTAAGCAAAGACTAACTCTGCCCTCTAAGAAATGAGAATCCATCAATAAAAAAACATCTTGTATCCAATCCAAAGACTTCAACAAAGAGAAGCTGTTTTATATGTAAAACTGAGAAGACTGTACTGGATCCTCGCCATTTAGGAAGGCACCAAAAAAAGAAAGTCTGATGTAAACTTGCTGGTTTTGAACCAAGCGTGACTCAAGCTCGAGCTGGCTCAACGACAAGCACCGCCCCTCCAACCCCCCGCCCCACAATTCTCTTTCTCATATCTCCCTTAAACAGACGGATTGTGTAGAAATCACATCATCTTGAGGGCAAATTATAAAGTTAGCAACATACTAAATCTGCAGCCACAATCCTTATCTAAACATCCTGATGCGGAAAGCCACTGATTATGTGTGCCACCCACATGTGCACCAGCCAGAAACCAAAAGACTTGAAGCCCAGGGCTGGCATGAGCAACTTGGAGAAGTGCTCCACACCCAGCGTATAAATTAATTTAAACAATTCAATAGTTAACTGCATTTGCTGTTCACAATCAGCACTGTGGCTCACATCCTTTCAGATAAGAACAGAGAATGAACTTTTACAGCAAATTCATGCTTCTTCTACAAACACACACAAGCAGTAAGAAAAAAGTGAAAAGTTGTTTTTACTCAAACAGTGTGTGATTCAGATATATGTGAGCGTGCATCTCAGGACTAGGCCCTCAAAAGAGCGTCTGCAAGGAGGGAAGTGCGGCAATATCACTTCCTGTGTCTGTCTGCATGTGAGACTGCTGCTAACACTTTTGTAGCATGCTTATTAATATTCACAGAGCCGCCCAGTTCCTTGGCTGACAGCACACAGATGATGGCATTTTCTTGTGCGCTGAGAGGTAGAAGCCAGCGCGACGCAGTCTAGCACTTTGCCTCGCATCCTCCAAGAACCCTTTGCCTGGGCCGTGCTGAAATGTGCTGACAACAGGGAGCTATGTTGCTATAAGTTTAGCAATATTCCTCAACTCCTACCCAGCATGCATTCCCTCATTAGCGTTTCTTGAAACAGGGTACTTGAGGGGAAAAGAAGGAGGAGTCGAATTAAAAAGCAGGGTAGAGGCTCAAATGAGCCTTGGGCTTAACACTTGGGTGCCCTGTCGGCACTTATAAAAATAGAAGAGGCCCCTGAAAGTGGGGGTCCTAGAGGTGTGCCCACTCAAGTCTGAATGAAAGTGTGTGCCAAGAGTGGGTATTCACCATGCATGGCAGGACTCTGGCACTCTTCGGGACTTCAAGGGTCTCTCTGATTTCTCTTTCTTTAGCAGATTCCCCCTGAAAGAAGCCTCAGTGGGGGCTGGAGGGAAGCTGCTTGTAAACACTTTTGCAGTTGCTTTCTGTGCCTCATCAACTAGTCTGCTGCCCCCCGAAGTCCCCTCTGGTTTCAATTAGATTGGAGTAAAAAGTAGGTAAGAGGGGCAGGATGAGTGCGAGTGCGTGTATGTCAGAGGTGGGTGGCTGGCCTGGGGTAAAGTGGATGTTTTTGGGGGGGAGGAGGTCCCGATGTTTGCTGAATGCTCTCCTTTGTTGGGATCATATTATGTTTCCACCACAATACTTCTAAACCCTGCTTCATCAACTCCATTCATGTGTAACAGTTCATGCAAATGGCCACACTAGCCTTTTTTTTTTCTAGAGGTGGGGGGGTGGGATTCTTTTTATCAGTCTACCACCCAACTACCCTCTCTGCAAACTCCTGCCTGCACACCAAAGATCAGATTATAATCCCTTCATACATCTTTACAGTCAGTTAGCCCAAAAAGCAAAGCTAGGGGGGCGCATTGAAAACCACATTCAAAAAAATAAAACCACAGGAAACATGCAGCGCTGAAACCTGCGCAGACGCTCCAATTCTTCTTCTTTGTTTAAATCTAGTTCTACTTTTCTTTTCTCTCTTTTTTTTTTTTTTTTACAGAGAATGTGGTTACAACCAGAGAAAAAGAATGACAAGCCTTCAACACCGAAAGTAGGTGCCGATTAAACCCACAGACAAATCTTTTTCATTTACTGTGACACATGAGGTTCCACAAACACAAACACACAAGAAATTTTGTCAAAATAACAACAATCTCACTGCTGACCGAGTGTATCCCTCCCAATGGGAACACACACACTGAAAAGAACAGCCAGAAATGTAGACGGAGCAGGAGATAACTTCTATCCCACTGAAGTGTGTGTGGCCCTGTGCAGACCTGGTATTAACATCCGTCTCGGGTGATCCGACCACAAGTGGACAGCTCTATGTTCAGATGTGAACGCACCCGAGACGCATTTGAGATCCGATCACTCAGACCACATTCGGAGGTGGTCTGGGCCGCATGTGTTCACATTCATTTAGCAGTGTGAACGCAAACTCGTCCTGGGCCACATTGAAGGACCTCCTACTCCACTGACGTCCTCTGCCACAGTCTGATTAGTCCCGCCACGGTTTCATAATGAACGGAAAACATTTTACTATTTCAAATGGCTAAAACTTTGTTTCACTGTAAGAGCTGTGCGCAGCGCATTTATTCGCTCAGCCCCTCCGTGCCCCACTCGCTCCCTCTCTCTCACACACACACACACACAAACACATTGACAACAGACCCGCCTGTCGATAACCTGCAATAACTTATATCTGTTTATTTGCATATAAAGAGGGGAAGTGACAAGTGGTCAATCGAGATGCAATTTAAAACCAGGTGTGAACTGACTTACTTCGAGCTGACCACTTGTGGTCGGATCACTGAAGACGCATGTTAATACCAGGTCATGACAGAGCATTTGTGTGTGTGTGTGTGTGTGTGTGTGTGTGTGTGTGTGTGTGTGTGTGTGTGTGTGTGTGTGTGTGTGTGTGTTACCTCTTTGGGGCAGTTTCCGGTATAAACACTGACCTTGCCGGGACCTGAGGGGTTAGGGTTGGGCTGTCCACAATGAATGGAAGTCAGTGCAATATCTGTCCTAACAACTTGTGTTTGTGTGTAAGTGTAAAAATTGATCTCTTAATCTGAAGTGTGGAAGAAGAATTATTTCCTCACTTACACCTCATGTTTAATCTATTTCACATTGAGCCGGTTGGTGGTGAATGAGGTTGTATTTACAGTGCAGGCCAATAAAAGTGAGTCTGAGGGGTGTTTCACAGGCAAATAATGGCTTTATTGCCACCAGAGGCGTTTTGTTGTCACTGCTGGATGAGGCCCAATTAGTAACAATATGGCAATGATGACCAAATACTGAATGGTTTCTCTACAGGAGGGGGTCACTGACCGCTGGATATGACACATGAGAGATCCATGTGATAAGATTTTGACTGATGAATTTTAAGAATGTGTGGGTAACCTTTCTTTAACTGGGACAAATTTCACTTTTGGGAACCCTCTCTAGGATTCCCAACAGGGATTCCCAGAACCACATGCGGAGAAGCAAAACCATGAAACCAACATCTACAACACAGCCTCTATCTGGAGAAATTGCAAGTGATATCCAGCTCCACGCTGAGTTACAGCACAATGACCAACTCACCCTGGATGAAGCTTTCCTCTTGTACTTGTTGGCGAAATCAAATTTCTCCTTGATCTCGTCCAGGAGCTGCTCCAGACGGGCCTTCTCCTCTTTCCCCGTGTAATCCTGGCCCAGGAGGATGTACGCCCTCCAGTTTGCCGAGTCGAAGCCCCAGTGGCAAGTCCTGTTCTCCTGCGCCTTGTGACTGTGCACCACGAACTTGTGGGTCGGATACATGAGTCTGCAGTCCATGCACTGGATGCACGCTGCGTTGGGGCTGGTGTACAGCTCCGGCACGAACAAGCCCTTGCACTTACCGAAGCACTCGTGGTAGACTTTGAAGCTCCCCTCGGTGAGCTCCAGCTCCAGCGAGCCTCCGCTCAGCTCCTTCTTGCACCGCGGCGGGTAGGCGCCTCCGTAGATCAGGGCGTTGCAGAGCCGCTCAGCGTCCGTCTTGGTGATGAGGCCGCAGGACGGCGCCGAGAAGGGCAGGATCCCCATGACTTTGAGGATCTCCAGCTGGTCCGCCGTGCACCGGGAGCAGTAGATGTGCAGCTCGTCGCACACGGAGTTGATCTGTTGCAGGGTGAAGTCCCGCAGCACCGTGTTGAGGATCTGCGGCAGGCACAGTCGCTTCTCCCCGCCGACCACGAAGCACGAGATGGTCTCGCCTTCCAGCACAGTCTCGCACCTCTCCGTGGAGCGGTCCGACGGGATGAACAGCGGGCCCGGCATTACCGGTGGCGGCAGATGCTGCAGAACCGGCTCCGGCTCCTTACCGTCCTTCTTGAAGAGGAGCTCATGTTGCCACCGGGCAGAGAAAGCCGCCGGTCCGCCCAGAGAGCTCATAGAGCTGAGGTGAAACTGCTTGAGAGTTTGTTGCAGTCCCGGATGAGGCTGGAAGCTTTGCCGACTTACAGTCTCCATGTTTTTCCTGCAACTTTAGAAGCGTAAATCCTCCTCGTCGTCGACCGGTTATCACGAATATCTATCCGTCTCTGAACCTGGTAAATCCACGGTGTGCCAGAATTGACCGAAATGTCGAAGCGCTTCATCAAACATCCAGTAAAAAGTCCCAGACGGCGAGTTTACAATTTTATTCCTGCGACTACTGAGTGAACACCGGCCAGTCGCTCCCTGCAGCGGGTCGCCGACTGTCCATATCCGACGAACACGGCTCTCCAAACTCCACAGAAGCGAAAAGTTCCTTCTGTCGAATTCCTCAACAAATCGTTAGAAAATGAAACAAAAGTGCGCGTTATGAGTCGATACAGCTCGATAAAAAAAAATCCTTATTTGAGTCTCTTTCCGCTGTCGAGGACTGCTGCAATCCACTCCGTCTGCCCCCGCAGTTCACTCTGACTGTATGGAGATGAGAAGTCTGAGAGCCAGCCTGCTCTCTCTCTCTCTCTCTCTCTCTCTCTCTCTCCCTCGCGCTCTCTCTCTACCCCCGTCTATGGCTCTCTCTACCCCCGCGCTGTGTTTAGGTCTCTCTCTCTCGCTCTCTCTAACGCGCCCCTCTCCCTCCCCCCCTCCCTCTGTGTTTGTGTGTCTGGCTCAGTCATTGAATCCCAGCCAGGAATGTGAGTGACTCTGCAGGCAGGCTGGGCTCTTCCAGGAACAAGCCGTCACCCCCCTCTCTCTCACACACACACACATACACACACTACCCTGCAGAGAAGAAGAAAAAGTCAGAGGGGAAGACTGCGTTCATTTTAAACTTTCTTACAGTCATTTCTGCAGTGGTGGCAAGTAACTAAATACATGAAATTTGTCCTTTTACTCCATCAGAACACAGAGGGAAATCTACTTTTATTATTTATTTGACAGCTATAGTTGAAAACTTTACACAGGCTACAGCATCTACAGTATATAAAACTGTTAGAATAACCGAATGGTTTAGGCTACACGTTAAGGCGCCAGTAATAATAACACATATATAATCATATAATGACATAAAATGGGTCATTCTGTCTAATGAGTATTTTTACTTTAATACTTGAGCACATTTCTGCAAAAAATGAATGAAGGACTGTAATTAGCTGTCAGTGAGCAGCCTATTAATGTTTTATTTTTTTAATTTATTCTTTTACATTGAACTAATACCACTACACTTTGGCAATAGGCTACTTTGGTAATTTTTAAAACATTATGTTGGTTAGAAGGCAATGAGTAATTGAAGCTGTATTCATGTCATGTGACGTTACAAGCCATTAAATGGTATTTACTTGTGATAGAATACATATTCTTCTCATTGACAGTTTTCCACATGTGGCTGAAGATGTGTTGACGTTAACGTCAGAAACGTGGTCATTCACGAGCCGAAACTTGGAGGTGAGCGGAATTTCCACACAGGGAGGCCATATTTACCAATCTTTCCCATGGGCTTTGAATGTTGCAGAGGGATAGGGTTTGAAAGAGAGGGAGAGAGAGAGAAAGAGAGGGAGAGGATGGGTGGTGTTTTGCGAGACAGGACAAATTTAGCTTTGGAAGGGGAAACGCAAATTGCACGACTGACTGCGGTTTATTTATTTTCCCTTCTGCTTGAATGTGTCAAAACTGTTTGGCAAGTGGCTGCGAATAAACAAGTTTCATGTGTTGGCGACCTTGAGAGACAATCCTGCTAATGAAATGACGCGAGAAGATTTCTGTTGTTTTTGTTTTTCACAGATCAGCTAGTAGAAGATGGTAGTAGGCGGTCAAATCACCAGCACAGTCAACAAAAATAAATATATATTTTATTTATTTTAACTTTTACTCATAGAAATTGTAAATTATTTAATTTTTTTGCAGAATAGTAGTAATAGTTTCATAGCTCAAACAGTTGCAGAGCTTTATATTTTCAGTTGGATGTACATTATTAAAAGAAGGCTATGCTTGATTGATCATGCTTTGTTCAAGGATGAGTAGGCTACATCTTCAGTTTTTTACATTATGTAAAAGTGTAACAGCCCACTTGTTTCTAAGGTTGACTTGTGTACAAGAAGACACAACTCTGACACATTATCTCAAAATCACATTTTAAGAAGAAGTAAAGCTGATGTAATAACCACACTAGTGCTTCAGGAGCCCCAGGAGGTCATGTGTCCAGACCAAGTTCAACTCCAGCAGTGAGGAAGCAGTTTGCTGTTCCTGTGGCGTCCCCTAGCCAAACACTGCTGTAACTGCAACACAATGGCAGGGGCCAAGATTTGGAGGACTCTTCCACTATCAGGCCAGCAGAGAGTCTGGGGGTCAAATTTAGTATTAAATTTGTGAATGCACATATGAAAACGCAGTAGGCCTATACTCCTCTTAAATCGAAATTCAACAGAAAACACTGAGAAAAATGGGATTTCCAAGCAAGTCAATAATAATACTCAAACAGAAAAGCGTGGAAAGTGCGGTGAGTGGGTTTGATTCATCATGTCTGCTGATGATGCTTTTATATTTGATTATCTAACTGGGTGCAATGAGTTTGACGAACAGACAGTTTAGGGCAGGGGCACTGAGTGGCATATGTGACCCCTCAGAAGCACATGTAGTGAGGGTGAATAATGGAACAGGACTGGATCATGGAAGTCCTTGAGGAGTGGGGTCGGAGTGAACCATGTCTACCATGTTGATGTCCTAAGGAGTGGCTAATGTTCTGCAAACTAACAAATGTCAAAAAAGTCAAAATAAAGTCAGGTATATGAAGGCAACAAACTGTAAAAAAAAAAGTGTCATAGTATGTTAAGCCATAAAAATGCCATAGTATAGTAAAGGATAAAAATGTCATACTATGTTAAGCCATAAAAATGCCATAGTATAGTAAAGGATAAAAATGTCATAGTATAATAAGGCATAAAAATGTCATAGTATGTTAAGGCATAAAAATGCCATAGTATAGTAAGGCATGAAAATTTAGTAGTATAGTAAGGCATTAAAATATCAAAAAACATTCCAACGTTGTAGTAAGGCATAAAAATGTCATAGTATAGTTAGGCATACAAATGTCAAAAAACTTCATAGTATAGTAAGGCATAGCAATACCATATTATAGTAATAGTATATTAAGTTAGAAAAATGTCGAAAAAAAGTCATAGTATAGTAAGGCATAGAAATGCCATATTATATTAAGGCATGAATCAACATGGTATAATAAGGCATAAAAATGTGATAGTATAGTAAGGCATAAAATTGTCAAAAAACGTCATAGTATAGTAAGGCATAAAATGTCAAAAAACATCATACTATAGTATGAAAATAATGTCATATTATAGTAAGATATAAAAATGTCATAGTATAGTTTGGCATAAAAATGTCAAAAAACGTCATAGTATAGTATGGATTAAAATGTCATAGTATAGTATACCATAAAATTGTCAAAAAGCATTATAGTGTAGTAAGGCATAAAATTGTCAAACAACGTCATAGTATAGTGAGGCATAAAAGTGTCAAAAAAAAAATTATAGTAAAGTAAGGCATAAAAGTATCAAATAAACGTCATGGTATATTAAGGCAAAAAAGAAATGATAATAAAAAGTCGTAATATAATAAGGCATGAAAATGTAAAAAAACCCCATCATAATACAGTAAAAAATAAAACAACACAGTATAGTATGGCATAAAATTGTGAAAAAACATCATAGTATAGTATGGCATGAAATTTTCAAAAACAACGTCATATTACGATAAGGTATAAATCTTCATAGTATAATAAAGCATAAAATTGTCAAAAAACGTCATGGTATAGTGTGGCATGAAAATGTCAAAAAACGTCATAGTATAGTATGGCATAAAATTGTCAAAACATGTCATAGTATAGTATGACATGAAAACATCAAAAAACGTCATATTATACTAAGGCATTAACACCACAGTATAGTGAGACATCAAAATATCATAGTATAGTAAAACATAAAAATGTCAAAAAACATCATAGTATAGTATGACATAAAATTGTCAAAAAATGTCATAGTATAGTATGGAATAAAATTGTCAAAAAACATCATAGTATATTAAGGCATAAAACACCACAGTATAGTAAAGCATAAAATTGTAAAAAAAAAAAA